GCCCAGCTTCTATCATCACATCTTCAGGCTGGGATGCTAAGTTGACAGACAGCTCTTCGGCCTGTCTTGTTTCTTTAGTAAGTGTGGCAGGGTCAGGTTGGCTCACWGCTCCAGTAAATGCTTCCTCTTGTTTCTCTTCTATTGTAAGGACTTTCTCTGAATTTACATTAAAACAGTGAGTGGGCGCATTTTTTAAGCGCACAATCATAGAAAATGAGTATTTTATCGAAATAGGAGACTGATTTTACCTGTTGGMCCTGTAAATTGCTTAGTTGTCGTTTCTGCAAAGTATCAGTAATAACTTAATTATACAAATGTTTTGAATTTKGAAATATTTTGAATGCTTCTTGGTCCAAAAAGCAACCTTCGATATTCAGCACATAAGTTGCTTGAGTATATTATCTTCTCAGTGAAGGATCCAGGGGGGTGCCATGTGTTCCTAGGAACCCCCCTCAAGCATAAGAAAATAAAAAATAAAATAAATGATAAATGAAATAAAATGAAAACGCATCGTACAATGAATCTTTATTAAATACATTCACGCTACAATATGCTACAATTCGAGAGGCGCAGTATAAAAGGTCGTTTTAGGAAAATGCGAAAACAAAGTGGAACCCCCTTTGAAAAATCTTGGATCCGCCACTGATTCTTGAAGAAAATTTAAGCAATTTGCGCCTCTTTCCATCCTCCTACCCCCGCCCTCCCAACCACAGACGGATCGGACTGATTCAAAATGTTTCTTCAGTTCAGTTTATACAATTTTTGAGCTCGCTAAGAACAGTTTTAGGTTGGAATACTAACCCCTAGTGCATTTCTTTGTTTTTCTTTTAAGCAATTTACGTACGTACCTTCTTGGGTAATTGGTCTTGTTGTMGTAGTAGTGGTAGTGGTTGTTGATTGTGTAGTTGTAGGGGAAGTTGTTGTTGGTGCAGTGGTCGTGGTAGGTGGGGGAGTCGTGGGCGGCTCTGTAACTGTTMCATTTGCATCGTCGGTCTTGTATTTTGACTGGCAGTATAAATAATTAAAGCAGACCGGATCTTTGAAGAAGGCACTTCGTCTGCGACGGGAACTTGATTCATCTTAAATCGTTCAATCGGTAATTAATCAATCAATCAATCATTKATTCCGTCAATCAATCATTAATTCTGCCAATCAATTAATCAATCAAATACATCAATCTCAATTTGTGTTTATGGCAGACAAATAAGACATAAGAATCAAGTATGTAATTAAATCAACTAACTCAACTTACTATGTTGTTGCAAGAAATTTTCAAATGAGCCGTGTAGCTCTGTAGAGATCTTCGACTTTTTAACTATATTCAGATTGCAAATAGTGACAGCAGGAAAAGGAATGCTCTGAAATCKACAGTCAATCAAATGATAAATCCATCAATCATCGATCACTGGCCGTCAATTGGTCCTTTTCTCAAGGAAATGACATCTCATGATCATTCCACATTGCATTAATGCTGTGATCTTCAACGGTTTGAATTCTTCAAAATTTYAATTCTATAAATTTGTATTTTTAAGAATACAAATGACTCACCTTTATAACTTGATGCGTCTCTTATCATTTGGCATAGTTTGAAATGTAGGTGAGAGAAAGAAAATTRGAAATCCAGGTGGAATCGCTTCTAAACGGCTTCAAACTCCGCCAAACGATAAAAGACACATCAAAATAATTAAGTTAAGTGTTTTTTATTCTTAAAAACATGCATTAACGTAATGAGCTAGGGTTGCTTGTAAACATTCTTACCGATTCATGTCTCATTTTGATTTGAGTTCCGATAGGTCGACTCAAATACGTTTCCAACAACGCGAAAACCTGAATGAAYAACATCACAAAAGCGACTCCGACTAAAAGACACCATAGAGTTCGCCCTAMAACTGTTTTCGACTCGGATATCCGAGCAAAACCATGCGCTGTTGTGTAGCCAAAGAAATCCCAGACCAAAGAAAGAACAGGTTTGTTTTGATCATCTTTTTCGTCCATTTGGTTTCAGCCCAAACTTATGTTTGGATTCAAACAATTCTTTCCATAGTTTTGAAGAAATAACTCTTGAAAAATGACTTTTTTGAGAAAAAAAGATTGAACGCTGAACGTAACAGTGTGCCAGACACGTTTAGTTTGATCATTTGAATTCAGATCAGTTTGAAACCTCAGCGCGCGCGCTCAACTGACCGCGCGCGTTTCTACTTAGSACAGGAAGCCCATTAAATCAGATAATCAAAAGTTAATAGACTCATAAAAAGTTCAACAATTTATTAGTTTACTCAACGAAATTATAAATAACAAAGCTTTCTTTTAAAAGCAAATTTAATTCTAAAAATGAACAGTAGTAATTTAATTTATCTATCAGACTTCAGTGCTTGCATAAAATTTAATACAATTTACTTAAATCAAGTATCAGAAGTCCACAAACAGTTATATAAGTTATGTACTTCTGCAAGTTTTCAATACTCATTTTCGATTGATCGAATAAGCTTATTTTTGACTAGACCCTAAGGTTTAATTTATTACAAAAATTTAATTTCAAACATATAGAAAGTCTGGTACTTAGTACGTCTTAAAATCAACGGTGATGTGGCAATTAAAAGTTTTATCCYATTATCCATTTCATCCGATTATCTAACTTATAAGCCAMAAAAARACCGGTCTTTGCTTCGTGCAAAWTAACAATGTTGRGTCGATCGTGCAAAGTACAGTAAGCCGTATTCAAATTTCTGTATCATTATTTATGTCGCGGAACGTTTCGGTGGCCACCATCTTGACTAAT